AAAAATACTTTTTATTAAAATATTAATACTTTAATATTTACAAGCCAAACATCATATATTAATAAGTAAATATATCAAGATTTACAAGTAAACTTCTTATATGTACAAGTCAGTTCCTCTTGCAATATTAATACTTTAATATTTACAAATAAAAGTTTGCAAATTTATCAGTTAAACTTGTAAATTAACATGTTTAACTTATAAATCTACAAGTTAACTTGCAAATATTAACCTATAATATTGTAAGAGGTAAATTTTTAAACATAAAGAATATGAGTTGTAAATATTAAAAAATTACTTGTAAAATTTGTAATGTTTGATTTGTAAATATTAAAATATGAATAATTTAAATAAAATATTGTTTCAAAAAACTTATTTTTTTAGTAACTAGTCAATGGTAGCCGGCCACTAGTTAATAATTGCTAGTGGTTAGTTAGCATCGATCAAATGGGTGAGAGTTTAAAAGCATTTGTGTTATTTTAGATGGTAAATTAATTACAAATAAAGTTTTTTATAGACTTAAGTGTATTTTAATAAATTTATGAGACTTATTTATAAATAAGATTTTCATGCGGAACCTACTTGTAATTTCCCTTAATTATTAGTTTATAATTTATTACTGGATAAACAAGCAAATTTGCCACTAAATTAGTATATCTAAAAGTGTGTAGGGTTCCAAATTCAGTTTTGATGTAATGTTTCCTTCAATTTGAAAAATGATACAACATAGCACCATATCGTTAATAAAAGTAAACTTTAATATTTGCTTAACTAAAAATGATACAAAAGAACATCAAAATTACATAAAAAAGGACCAATAAAATTGTCTTTGTTCTTTTATGTAATTTTGAGTCATTATCTGTAATTTTTAAATCATTTACTAAAATTGTTTGTCATTTTTTAATAATTTTTGATATCTTTTTTTTAATCATTTTTGGTTAGCTAACGATTATATTAAAGTTTAACTTTATTAACGTAAAAGTAAACTTGCATCATTTGTAAAAATTGGAGAGGAACATTATACCAAAAAATAATTTAGGATTCTAGACGTTCTAAACTTATAAGTTAGGGGTCAATTTATTATTTAATCTTTACTAATTAGAATTTAAACTTGTAATTAAGTTGACATATAAAAATGTATAACAACTATTAGTCATATGTAATAAATAATGCAATTATTTCCCAATTTCATATAATGTACCAATTATGTCCAGCTAGTAGTCATCCATGTAATATATAAGAAATAATGCAGAGAATTGTTTGTTCATCATGATTAATGAACAATATTATTTATTCTAGGTTTAGTCCAAATACATAGGATCAACTTTAATTTAATTATATATTATTTATCACAAAATTAAAATAAAACATATTGTGTGCTCGTTGTTCTCGTAGTAAAATGTAGTGTTTTTAAAAAATAAATAAATTGGGCCTTCCGCGCAGCAGGAAGTCAATTTTTGAAATCACTAGTAAGTTGAATCAACCGCCACCTTGGCGTCTTATACGAAATATTATAACATATGAGGCACAGTTAATGTATCTGCAACCACCGTTTTTTATTTAAAAAATCGCTCTCAGGTTTTATATAGGAATCTAACTAAATACATTATATAAAATCATAAAAATGCTCTGAAATCACCTACCATTTACTGAAGTTATCAATGTGTTATATTGAAATTATCAATTATATACCGCATACTCCCTTTATTCTCAAATGTGAAGGGAAAAAAATATCCAATTCACATAATTTAACAATTTGGTTAAGTACAATGTTTACGTTTAAAATTAAAAAAATTTAAATTAAATTACACTTATAATTAATGAAAAAAGTTTGTCTTGGGAAAAAAACTTTGATTTTATATGGGGAAATTTGGTAAAAAATGTGATATTTATGTATTTAATCGTATCTTATTTTTTTTATTATTATTCCCAATCGAATCTTATCACATCTTGGAAATATCAAAGTTATGCATATTACAAAATACAATTATTGAATCTTCAACCATCCTCATTTCTTTAGTAAAAATAATAGTACAATAAAAACCCTTTTGATATTTGTATATTTAATCTTATCATATCTCTTGGAAAACTCAAGTTATAGGAAACTCGAGTCATAGTGTATCTTCTGTATGTGTCTGTGCATGTAAGACTGCAAGCAATGAAAAATAGTCTGAAACAAAGCTGTCTCATTGTAGATTTATCACAAAAAACAGAAGAAGAAGAAGAAGAAGACAAAACTAGAGCCAAAGCGGATTGACAAAAGTACAGAAACCGATAAAATGCACAAAATCGAAAAGAGGAGGTAAAGAAAGGAGGAAGAATAATATGTTAAGGATTTGAGTAAAAATACAATTAATAAAATTTTCTCTATGAACCTATTGAAACATTCTAGTAATCATGCATACTCACTCTCTTATCAAACAATCTCAAGTTTTGATTGTAATACACATTATATTGACTTAATTCTCTTAGGCATCGGGTATATATAATACCTTCCATTTACTTGAGATTTCATCACACACGTGCGCGCGTTGTGAGATCCATTGAGAACGATCTAAATCTAATGTTTGTGTAGTAGAATCATAAAATTAATCTTCCAATTCTATTTACAAACCACTTTTAACATATTTTATCAAAATAAAAAAACATTTAAAATTTATTAATTCTGTCAAAAAATTTAATAAACTTCCATCTTCATTCCAATTATATATATATATATATTTTTTCCTTCAACATTTCATGGGGTAGTCTAGCTTATAAATAGAATTAAAAAAAAAATTCTCTTTGTATATGAATAAACCAGGGAGTATATACATATAAATATAAAACCTAATGTGGACATGTACTTCCTCCGTTTCTATATATACGAGAAAAAATTATATCACATAGTGCAAGAAAATTAGTTAACCACAATAATTATATATAAAAATAAAAAAATTATATAATAATTATTTTTGAAAATAAAAAAATTAAATTAAAATGCCCTATATTAATCAACATAAGCATGCATTAATTATTTCTCATTAATGTAAATTATGAGGGATAATTTAAAAAATATGTAATAAACTCTTATTGAAATATGTAATTTTACTTATATAAAAAAATAAATAAAAAATGATAGTTTCTCTTATAAATAAAAATAGAGTAGTATTTAAGTTGCATAAATTTCTCTCTATACTTTATATATTGTTCATTAGTAGCCTTTAGTCGGAATGAGAACACATAATTAAGGCTAGAAAGAGACCTAGCGTGATACTCCCAATATTGTTGTAGACTTTAATAAAACTAGTAAATAGCCCACACATTTTAATAATTGCTAATCAAACTTCATTAAAATTGTATGCCTACCCTAATAACTATAAGATCAGAATATTATACTTTTAAGCAAAACAAGAAAAACAATTAATTAACATATGGCCTAGAACAATTAATTAGCTAAAGAGCTCATAGCATTAGAGAAAATGGACTAATATTATTATATACTGTTAGGTTATCCAAGTGTGAGTGAACTTGAGATGATGTGGGAAGATCTACATTGAATAAAGTTGGGCTTAATAATTAATATATAATAAAGAAAAAGGACCCGTAAACTTGAGTCTTGAGATTTTGAGTTAATTAAAATGTGATACCCTTCTGCTACTTTTGCCCATCTCTTTCCTTCCCCCATTCCTGGACGGTCGTTCTATATTCCTAACATATACCAATGGTAATTATTTATACATTCATTCATGTCATTTTATTTTGAAATCTCAAAGTTTTATTTTATTTTTTTAAAAAAATAGACTAATATTATTATATATATATATATATATATATATCTATATATCTATATTGCAATATTATTTGTTCATATTCGTATCATACATTTGAAATCTGAAAGTATGTGTATATATACAATAAGCCATGTGATATTTTCACTTGTGGAAGCAATGAAGAGCTAGGTCTCTTAGTTTGACACAGTTAAGGTTGTCTCTTTGTAGATTCCAAAGGCAGATCTAGGAAACATTAAGGCATAAAAATCTGTGAGTCTCTCGATTCATTAATTCACCTGAGATGGAGGGATCGTCAATGGTGAGAAGTGATGATGAGAAGAAGAGATCAAGATGGATAGAGGAAGTGGAGAAAGGAGGAAGGATAGCGGCGCCGATGGTGGCGGTGGCGGTGGCGCAATATCTGTTGCAGGTGGTATCGCTGATAATGGTGGGACACTTAGGACAGCTCTCTCTTGCCAGTATCGCCATTGCTACTTCTCTCACCAACGTCTCTGGCTTCAGTCTCTTGGTATATCCCTTCCTTCATTTCTTTCGGTTTTTTTTTTTTTTTAAATACAATTACTCATTATTCATGAGCTGAGTTAGGATCACGTTGGCGACTACATACCCATGACTCAAACTTAAAACTATTGGTTAAATTAATACAACTCTTTTATCAATTGAGCTATGTACTCGTTAGTTTCATTCATTTCTTTCTCCTGTCTTTATATATACATATATATCACCATTATTGCTTCTACAAGTGGGCAAAGTCAGGATTTAACTACGCAGAGAGCGGAGATTAAAAAGCACATGAATATTATAAAATTTTTATAAATCTTAAAGCCAAAAGTGTATGACATTTATATAACATTTATACTTTCTTGATCCTATTTGTAAGGCACTTCTAATATATTTTATCAGAGTTAAAAAAAACTTTAAAACTTATTAATTTTGTCTAGAAATGTAATAATTTCTTAACTTCAATGGAGGTCAAAAGGAAAATTTGTAATGAAAATTTAATAAGGTGACTTATAAATAAGATAAAAAAAAAACTACTATCTCTACCATATAAATAGGACCAGAGGTAGTATATTAAATTTAGAGGTTCCATCATTTTTGAAAATATTTATTAACAATTGATATTTCATAAATTCATAAGCTGGCTTTTCTAAAATTTACAAGTGACAATATTAAATTTATGAAATTATTTATTCATTTATAATTGAATTTTCATTTATTCATAAATAACATTTCTTGTTTTTTTTTTGCTCAGAAACATTTCTTGTATTTGCAGCTTGCTTTTCTTAAATTTATAAGTGACCTTTTATTGACTATTTCAATAATTATTTATTTTTAATCACAAATAAAGATTATATTCCTTTTAGTCCTTGCTAGTTCAATAATTTAAGGTTTTTAATTATCTTTAATGCCTTAACAAGATCCTACATTAATGTCATTTTCCCTATATATTTTTGAGTTAATATGCAATTCCATTAAATTTAAACAAATGTCTATTAAATGAGGCTTAATGTATGATTTTTACCAAATGAGGGTAAGAAAAAGAGGGAGAGTGGAGTTTGGTAAAAATCGCACATTAAGGCTTTATTTTTTAAAAAACTAATGGATGTTTGTTGAAATTTAATGATGAAGTGAAATGATTTCAACTGTAATTGTTTAGAATTTAAAATATATCTTTTAAAAGTTTATGATTTAAATTACTCTTAGACCTGTAATTTAGTGTTCGAATTGCATATTAACTCTATATTTTTTTACCCACTAATTACTTGTAATATTTTATTTCTTGGAAGAGGAACATTGAGGAAGAGGAAATTAATAACAATTATATTCCTAATAAAATTTTAAAAAATAAATTGATAATGTGGATTTAAATAACTCTAAAGTCAAGACTTTCATATGTAAACAAAATATTTAAATTTTAAATGTAATTTTCAATTTACAATTATAATTTCTATTTGCAACTGTCTAAATTAATATTTGTAATTCATTTTCGAAAAAAAATTATTGGAGTGTAATTATCATTAATTAATTTTTCTTTTAGATTTTACTATCATTCTTCCTTATTTCTTTCTCCTGTACGTATATTATTAATTCATTGTTTTTCTTGGGAGAATGACAATTTCAAAGGACCCTACCAGGTCGAACCCATGCCCATGTGTTTCAGCCGAAGCATAAAACCGTGAGACACGAGCGAGCCAGTAATTAACTCCCCCCCCCCCCCCCGGGGGGGGGGGGGGTCCCTCAATTTAGCATAAAGTCACAAACTTCATAGCTTCAGCTTTGGATTTCTTGTTGGGGGAGGGGGGGTCCCTCAATTTAGCATAAAGTCACAAACTTCATAGCTTCAGCTTTAGATTTCTTGTGTGTTTGTGTTGGTCTATATTTCGTTTTTGAAGTATTGAAGAATATATTTTTGGAAAATGACAAATAAAACAATATAATACAATTACAATTCAGTCCCTCAAAACAGTAAAATTCAATTTAATGATCATGGTCTTTAATTTTAATTAAAATAATTTTCCCATGTGAAAAACACCGTTGTCAGAGACTCGTCGATGACCAGATTCGGCGGCCAGCTGCCAGATTTTTCTTCCATATATTATGATGATATGAATACTCTATAAATTACTTGTTTAGCTTAGTGATATATATAATATGATTATATGAATATTCTAATTATTTGAGGGTTTTGTATCATATATATGAATGCGGGGCAGTCAGGAATGGCAGGTGGATTAGAAACCCTATGTGGCCAAGCTTACGGAGCAGAACAGTATCACAAACTAGGGATCTACACTTACACTGCAATTATCTCTCTCTCTCTGGTTTGTGTTCCAATCTCTCTTGCATGGAGTTTCATGCACAAATTACTCCCACATTTAGGTCAAGACCCAGTGATCTCCATGGAAGCTCGAACTTACTCCATGTGGCTCATACCTGCACTGTTCGCTTCTGCAATTCTCAAGCCTCTCTCCAGATATTTCCAGACTCAGAGTCTGATCTTTCCCTTGCTTTTAAGCTCCTCTTTAGCTTTGTGTTTGCATGCAGTTACGTGTTGGAATCTGGTGTTCAAGTTAGAGCTAGGGCTTGTTGGTGCTGGAATTTCTTTTAGTGTTTGTGCTTGGTTCAACGTGATTCTTCTGGTGTTGTATATGAAGTATTCTTCTGCATGTGAGAAGACTCGAATCGGTTTTACGAAGCAAGGTTTGCTTGGCATGTCAGAGTTCTTCCGTTTTGCTGTTCCATCTGCTCTTATGGTTTGGTGTGTATTATCTCTCTTTCCTTCGATCTTTTTCTAATTTTATGTTAGCACTTAGAGCTGCCAATAAGAGCTGACCCGTTTTTTATGTGTCCAACCTTTAAAAGCTCAAGCCTATAAATTTGCTTAATTTAAATTGACCATATTTTTCAAGTTCAGCCAACATTGACAGGGTTTAGGGTTGGCTTGAAAGTTCACATAATTTTTATTTAAATTTCTAGTTATGTTAATTAATTTATACTTTAAAAAGTTGTGTCATTTTCATATAGTAATTCAGAAATGAAAATGAATCAAACAATTTCAACTATATATTTTTTGCAATGTTAAAGTCATTAATGAGAGATAATGCAATGCAAATAGGAAAAATTTTCATTTAAATATCGATAGATTCAAAAATTTATTCCATGACTTAACTACTTTTTTTTTTTTATTCTAGTGAGATGGTTAGTACTGTCTTATAATAAGAATTAGAGTAGTGTGTGTGTATATATATATTATTGTGATGATTCTGAAATTTGATTTAAATCTTCAAATTTTGAGTAGCCTAAAGTGGTGGGCATGCGAGTTGTTTGTATTACTGGCCGGACTCTTTCCAAATCCAAAGTTAGAGACATCGGTCTTTTCTATATGGTAAGCATTTAACTTGCAACTTTTGTCTCCATCAAATTAATTAATTAATGTACGCAAAATCTTATGCAGTGATTGGATATTATGACATATTACTTTGTTAATTATTTCCTTTTTCTGTGTCAGCCTTACAATTTCAACTTTGCACTTCACCATACCATATGGGTTTGGCGCTGCTGCTAGGTTTGTTACTTGCTAAACCCGTCATTACAGCTTAATTCCGTTTATTTAATTAGCTCGATCGACATTGAACTTAGAAATTTCTTGAAGTTTTTTAGAAAAATAATTAAAGTTGGAGGGCCATAATTAGAATAAGAGAGAATGACATTTAAGTATCCTCTAGGAACATTATTTATGATTAAGGATCATGAAATTTTGAAATTTTAAAGAAGGACCATACTCATTTTAATTTTAGCATTTTCAGCTCTAAGTTTTTCAATGGTCATCTTAGATGTTTTTAATACCCTTGTTCCATAGTTTTATTACTGAACAATACTTGCACGTCTTTAATTCTTTTCAGTACAAACTATACAAAAGATGAGTATCGCAAATACCTAAGGTGACTAATATAATGAAAAAAATTTAAAAAAAAAATTGAGTATTGAAAATGCTAAAAATGAGTATTGAAAATATGAATTATGAGTACTGAAAAAATTTAATAAAAAAATTAATTCCAATTATGGAATGTTCTTTCTCTAAAATTGTAGAATCTTTAACTGTAATTAATTAATAATAGCTTGAAGGTCCTTAAATATCATTTTCCCCACTAAAAAATACAGCAATAAGTACCACCAGGAGACAGACGATTCTCTCGAAATGCAAGAAGGCCCTAGGTGGAGATAGAAAGAGAGAAACAAAAGAGTTGAAAATTTAGATGTGTCGGGCTTATTCAAGCTCGATTTAAATAAGCCTGACTCTTTGAGAAACTCGAATAGCCAGGCTCAACCTAAATACCTGAATTTATATTTTTAAAATTATTTTTAATTAATTTTTTCACTATAAAATTAATTATTTTATTTTATAAAAAATATAAAATATATTTTTTAATACTTAAATGATGTATAGGACTCAAATATATGGTATTTTAATATAAAATAACCTAAAATTTAATTAATTAATTAATTAATATTTATTATATTTTATAAAAATAAAATATATTTATTTGGGTATTCGTACTTCGGGCTAGCTGAATAAATCCAAACAAAAAAAAATTATATTTTTTAAGCTCAATTTTAATTTTTTTAGTCAGATTTAGATTAGTCTGTCAGACTTGATTTCAATTACTGAATTTAATATAGTCTATGTCCACTTGAGGATCTATGTATAGGTCTTATCTAACGATGTCGCTCTAATTAACTTGACCATAAGGAAATGAGTATAATATAGTTTGTTGATGATGTGATGATGAGACAGTACAAGAGTAGCGAACGAGGTGGGTGCAGGGAACGTGGAAGCAGCGAAAGTAGCAGTGGGAGTGTGGATGATAGTGGGAGTGACGGAGGGAGGCATAGTGAGCGGAACCCTATGGGGACTCCGACACGTGTTGGGCTATGCCTTCAACTCCGATCACGAGGTTGTCCGCTACGTGGCTTCTATCACCCCTCTCTTGTCTCTCTCCATCTTCTTCGACTCCTTCCAGGCTGTTCTTTCTGGAGTCGCCCGAGGATGTGGGTGGCAGCACGTGGGAGCCTACGTCAACATTGGAGCATTTTATGTCGTCGGAGTTCCTGTCGGAGCCTTGCTTGCCTTCCCTGCTCATTTCAGAACCAAGGGCCTCTGGATTGGCCTCCTCTCTGGCTCTCTCCTCCAATCTTCCCTCCTCTCTCTCATCACTTATCTCACTAACTGGTCTTCACAGGTAATTCTTCCTTCTCCATCCTCCCCCTTTCTCTCTCTTTTTATTTCGAGAGAATTCAAACGATGGAGAGTGCTGGTATAAAATCCTAAAATAAGAAATTAATCAGAGTTAAACTCACCAAAAATTTTAATTTAAAAAATGAGTTGTAAATGTGCATTGAGACAATTTTAAATGAGACTTAATTGCAAACTAACTGTTATTTTTAGAATTTAAATATAATATTTGTAAATGAAACTTCTGATTTTGCAATCAATAAAAGTTGGTAAGAATTTAGCTTATAATTCACAATATTTATAAATTTTTTTATTAATGTTTTGAGCCTTAAGAAATGTCTTAATTCTAGTGAGATTTTAGAATTCAATTTATGTAACTTTTCAAAAGTAAAAGAATTTTTAAATTTGTAATTATTTAAATTAATATTCACAATTTATTGTTTAGAAATTTTATAGGAATTTATATGTCATTGATTTCCTCTCTTGAAACTTCAGTGTCTTTATCCCTTCAAACAAACTTTGAGTGAGAATATAATTTTAATCCATCCCTCAACCTTTCTTCAATTAATTGATTCAATCCCTAAATTCTGTATCAAAACAACTTAGTTCCTATAATTTTTTTGGGCACAAAACAACTCAATCTTTATATGTTCCTTTTTTTACTCAGTACAACTTAAGTCTCGTTTAGTTACTAAAAAAGAATAAAAAAATGGATTGAAAAAATAAAAATAAAATAAAATAATTAAAAGAAACACATGAGTATATTTATAAGAAAGATGAATAATTTAATTCATAAAATTAAAAATCATAATTTATGAGATTTTTAAATAGTGTGATAATTTTTATATTTAAAATATAAACATTAATGAGTGGGGAAGGGTATTTAGTTCATTTTTTTATTTTTTCAATTTATTTTACTTCATTCCTTTTTAGTAACTAAGTGAGACCTTAGTTCATATAATTCTTTAATTCAATAAATTATAAGAATTATAAATTGTATTGAACAAAAAATCAAAGACTAAATCAATGATTAAAAAAAATTAAAAACTAAAAGTTATATTATTCGAAAACTTTAATATCGGCGTGTTAAATAGAATATCTTGGTTGTGCAGGCAAAGGGGGCAAGGCAAAGAATATTTGATTCCAGATCTCCGGATGCGAATGAAACAGTGAACCATCCTTAATCAATCAAATGAGCAATAATCCTGCGATGAGTACTTGATCTTGGCTATGATATGCAATTATTCACAACTATTTTAATTTATATACATCAAATGATACTAGACAAGAAAATCGGATTTTTTTTTAATTTTATTTTTAATATAAATTTCAATTAAAGAAGGCAAAATCTCAGGGTATATGGTTCCTGTATCTGATTTGATTTTCTTTGGTAATGCTTTCTCGATTAATTTTGAGATCCAAAATGATTACAAGTTAAATCAGGTCTCCCGCGTAAAATTCTCAATTATAGTTAGGAAAATAAAATACGAAAAGTGTCAATTTGTTTAGGTTATATTTGATAAATAAATACAAAAGAGAGAAATATGATAAAAATAACAAATTTAATTTATTTAATATTTATTATATATTTTTATTCTTTATTTACGTCCATATTTTGATTAAATTTATATTTAATGCATAAATCAAATTATTTCAGTTTTTTTACATACACAACATGTAAATAAAAACAATTATTGATGTAATTGGGCTTGACCAAGTGAACAAATTGGGCTAGCCTGTTTTTGGGTAACAAAGAGGGCTTAGACGGAAATTAAAAATACCTATATAAGCATCAAAGGGAACTGGGCTAGAATTTGAATTACAGTTATGATGTGTCAGGAACCTAAAGTGTCCCTTTTAAAAATTTTGCTATAACTCCCTGGTAGCATAGTAAATTAAAGTTCAAATTTTTATAAGAAGACATGTTCATATTTTGAATTCAACAGTACCTTGAATAAGATTGTAATAGGAGAATACTTGTAAATAAAAAAAATTCTTCCATAACAAAAAAGGCTTCAATAAAAAAATCATTAATAAATTCTATAAACTAAAAATAAAATAAAATTGGAAATATAATATATAATTTAACCTAAAAAAATCATGATAAATTTCTTTTTCAAGAACTTGGCTCTAAATTAGGCTAGATTCAAACAAAACAAAATTAAAAATAATATGAATGTTATTAAAATGGACGTGGTACTATAGTGAACCTGGCCCAAAATTCACACCCTGTAAAAGAATATTCCACGTCGTGGAACTATTCTTTGGTTCAATAATGAGTGTCGCAAATCAAGTTATAGTCATTGCTTGCTACGTACATTTACATCAAATTAAACAACAACACTTCCAATTTTTTCCGCTGAATGCAACTTTTGAATGTCTCGTCCTATGTAAAAAGTTTTTCTTAAAAGGCAAAAAAAAAAAAAAATCATTTTCTCTAAATTAAGATAAGAAAATAATGGCATGCACAAGTCATAGGATGATTGAGGACATGTTTAATGTTTGCAATGGACATGGCCAGAGTTTGATGGTTGTATTTAATAGAGAGACAAGAAGAAGAAGAATTTATATTTCCGTTAAATTTAACAATGTTCAAATCTAAATGGGTTAAACGGGTTGAAGTACATGTCTACTAGGGAAGACATAATTCGTATATCTTGAAGTATTTATCAACGAAATGTCGTTCCAATATTTTTAAAAAGGCTAGAATATCATGATTCATTTGGTTACATTAAAAAAATATGTTGATATAAAAATGTTATATTGTTAAAATATAACAGAATATTGAAACATTATCATGAACACGAAATAAAATTTTTTTTAATATGAAATATTTTTGTTGAAAAGGGGGAAAGATAGAAGAAGGATGTAATGGTGAAGTGTTTGATGGTGGTGTGGAAAGTTGTGGTTCATGAAGTGGGGCAAGTTGAGGATGATGTAACATTTGTTGATGTTTTGAGAACCACTGTTTTATTGGAAAGCGACCAACTGTATAAGATCTATAGACATTGGTTTCCTAAATTATTAAAGTTGAGATGAGACTTTTGTATTAAAATTCACGATGATAATGCCAGCTGTGTGGTTGGATTGAATACAAGGAACTTAATTTCTCTCTAATAATGTTATATAAAGCTAAGCCAAGGAATTAATAAAATTGAACCTAGTCAAAAAGATTAACTTTTCACAACGTGATAAATTAATATTTGAATTTTTATTTTAAGAGATGTTCACATCTAATGTTTAACTGTGGATTGAGTTTTTAATAAAAACATATTTATGGGCAATAAAAAAAGCGTGAGACGGATTCATCATTGAATAGGTTAGGATGGGGGAATTGAAATCCTTAAATTGGGGCTAGGTACAATCCTTTTCAGCATTTTGGAGGAACGACATGAAAGGACCAAAGGATTGAATTAAATCTGAATAAGTACCAAAATTTTAGAAATTCAAAATAAAAACCAATGAGTTTTTTTTTTTACAGTGAGTTGGTTTAAAAATTTACTACTCTTGTCAAATTAAAACTAGAATCAAATGAAATTCGCTAATTTGTAAAGGAAATCATTGCTAACAAACATATTATACCATTTCCAATGACTTAATTTGCTACCCTCATACTCTTATTTGTAACACTTAAAACATGAATTTGTAGGTAAGATCCGTTAATTTGTGTAGAAAAACAATTTTCAAATAATGATAATTTGACAAGTTTTTCTTTTATAAATTAGCAAATTTTACTCAATAATTTTTGTTTTAAGGGTTGTAAATAATGGAATAATAAGAGTAGCAAACTTTTAAACCTTCACTAAGACATTCAGTCCTTATTTCAGATTTCCAAGTCTTTTGGTCCTTCTTTAAGCTTAATTCAATCTTTTGGTTCCTTTAATGTCACTATTTCTCAATGGCATCCTTCCTTGCCCCATTGCGTCCGTCTTCAGTCATATGTTGGAATATTGTGGATGGAAAAAAAAAATCTGGTCTTATAATAAAGTTGATATCATGGTATTTATCTATTGGTGGAATAAAAAGTTGAGGATGTCAATGTGCACGTTTTTTTTTTTGGGGGGGGGGTAATTTTGAGAGCAGTATGGTGCTGTCCTCGTTGAATCATATTGCCCGGACGGGACCATTCTAGCATTGATCACACAATGTCTTGTGGTCTCAACACTGATCAATAGTAGTGTGGTCTCAAATGCTTGATAGTCATACGCGCATATGTGTATTTTTATTATTTGGTCCCCAAGTTACAATAACATGATTATCTCTTTTAGTGTGTGTTTGGCTCCATGAGATCTACGTGGAAGCAAACAAACATAGCCTTCGCTGTTTGGATCTCTGAGAGTTTGAGCTTCTCAATGGCATTAAGGTTTTGACACTTCATGCTTCAAAAGGAGTGTGAGAATATATGACCAACACTACGTGTTCTGGGGTTTGGGGGGGGGGGTTCGCAAGAAGAGGTTTTTATTGGATAACATTTATTATACTATTTTTAACCTGTCTTCTTTTTCTCTTTTATTTTGAGTGATTAAGAGGATGTGGATAATCTCTTTTTTTATTTTTTATTTTTTCCCATTCCATTTTATCTCTAATGTATTGGAATGTGTCCGCTAGTTCTGAGAAGTCATATGAAAATCATATTTGCTGTTGGCCTTCGGTCATTTTCTTCATCAATTAACAACTGGTTTTATCTCATTTTATCTTTATACCTACTTGTGATTTATGGACAATATAATTTGGTTAAATAAATTCTAAAAGGGTTACAATTACAAAATAAATTTACGAGAGCACCTTTTTTTTTGTGGCTTTCGAAGCGGTCCCATATATAAGGGAGCTCTTAGGGGTGATCTATGAGATAAAAGCGCTCACGCATACTTCTAGAAAAGCACTTTTAGTAGGCCAATAGATTATCATATAAATATATAAAAGTATTTTTAATAAATAAACTATTTCATGATAATTAAATTTTCAGAACGCTCACACAAAAGTGCTTTTAAAGGGTTCTAGAGGGCTTAACTTATTGAAGTGTTTATTAAAAAAATGCTCCAATACATTCCGCCTTAACCTATAAAAAAGTGCTCCTAAAGACTTACTTTAAAGCATGTTTTTTTATTTTTTGGTAGTGGTGGATAGAAAGCATTTTTGCTTTTATTCCAACCTACTTCAATTCTCAAATCATCAATGCTAAGTTAGTGTGGAAGCAGTCTCGAGATGCATCTCTGTTTACTTTCATATGTTTAAGGGCTACTCTTTGATAGGTTAATTCCTTCTATGCACATGCCCTATATATATAACATTGATGTGCAAATTAATAGCATTCATAAGCACATCGTTTACTTCATAAGTGTGAACATCATTAATTAATTATTTTTCAAGTTGTGCAAGGGGATTTCTTGTACTCTGTTATCAATTTCTTTCCTGATTGTTGTGTAATGCTTTAGCTTCATGGCGTTTTCCTGTATATTATGTTCTTGTTAACTTTTTGTCTTAATATATATATATATATATATATATATATAAAAGAGGAACCCTATGAAAAGGGAAGAGAAAGTGAGAAACTCCTTTCCTCAATATGGGACCTTGGCTGGTGGAACCGATTTATTGTAGCTTTCTCGGACTATTGGGTTTTCATTCATTTAACGGAAGATTTCGATTGGTGGGTTGGTGACCGAAGAAATACTGAAGGTTTTTTTTTTTTGAATTTTTTAAATTATACTGGCTTCGGATATTATGGTATATAAAATGGGTTTTGAAAATGTCTTAATTAAAAATTTTATGTTATTAATAAATAATTTATGATAATTTAAATTGATTATTTTTTTATTTTTTATGCAAAGTTTATTTTATAGTTATTTCAATCAAACTATAGCACTTATTTTCATCCAACCAAATAGAAATTCACCCCAAAAAAAAAACTAATGTCCTTTTTCATTGCATATCAAGCATAAGTTGTTTTCCCTTCTTTCATTTCTTTTATTTACCTAATTTTTTTCGTAAACTTTATTTATTTACCTAATGTTGTGTGTGGATGTATAAAGATTTGAATTTGAACAAGTTTTTTATTTGAATACATAAAAAGTTTAATTATAGATATGTTATAACTTTTTTTATAATTTCAAATTTTTTTAAACTCTATTTTTTTAAATTTTATTAGTTACTACAAATTCTCTCATTTTCTCCATATTTTCAT